TGAATCCAATGCTCCTACGCGATCCAGCAACGATCCCGAACCCGCAGAGCCCCCGAACTCAGAAGAAAGCACAGACCCATCAGATTCAGCAACCGAACCGTCATCGGGCTCGTTGACTGCGTCCCCGATGCTTCCTGCTTCCATCTCATCTTCATCAATCTTTTCACTCGGTGGATCGTCCTTTGGTTCGATCGCATCCTCGTGCGTCGAAAAATGGATCTGGCGCCTCCTCACAGCCGTCCCATCCACCTCATTGTCTGATGACATATCGCTGCTAGTAGTAGTATCTCTACGTGCTCGAGCTTTTACCGCTTCAACAGCTCCAAGAGAGCCCCGCCGGTACCGATTGTTGGCTGACCTGAGTGAAGGAGACGTGACAAAAACGTCAGGATTATGGCGACGATCCAGACTTCGGATTGGGGATGAACCAGCACGCATTCGTCGCACTGGCATCTTCGTAAACTTGATCTGCTGAATAACCCTGCGAATGGTTAGCCGGGTGTTTATATACACATATCATATTCATGAGAATAAATTAAAGCTCTGCATACCTTTGAACATCATCCGCCTCCTCATCACTCTCATCACTCAGATCACTACTATCCTCATCCTCCACTTGCGCCCGCTGCTGCTCGTCCTGCCTTTCCTTCCTTCGCGGCTTCCTCCCCACGCCCCTCTTAATCTGCCGATTACCAATCGCATTCATCCCCTCCTTCGCCCCGGGCACCATCCCACCTTCTTCGTCACCCCCATGATCCACAATCCCAAACCCAAGACCCACCGGCGCCGAATCATAGGGCCCATCACTGCCACCATTTACATCGACGAGGTCCCTACCACGTCGCGTATTTAATTGGAAGTATTCTGAAGCAACGGCCGTGGTGGTGGGGATCGGAGGGGAATACGTGCGTTTGATGTGAGCGGCATGGGCCCCTGCGATGGATGACCAGCCTGCAGCGCGAAAGCCAGGGGTGTTAAGAATGGAGGAGTTTACGGTTATCAGGCGGTCTCCGACTCCGTCTTTGATTGCGGAGAGGTAGGAAGTGCGGAGTTGCCAGATGATGAAGCTGTGCGGGGGAGGGGGAGGGAAAGGGGGCAAAAATTAGTTTATTTGATAAGTGATCATTGGATGGGATGGGGAAAGTTAGGATGCTAAAATATAGATTTATTTGATGGGCATACTCTTCGTTTTGGAGGAGAGACATGGTAGATATTTATGATTGCGCTGGATGGGATCGGCCCGAGATACAAGGAATTCGGGTGTGAGATTGGGAAGGAATGGCAATATTCGCTCAGTCTTGTAGTGTAGTCGCTGAAGTGGGAGGAAGAGGTTATTGGCCTCCGTATTGAATTGTAAAAGAGGTTAAGAGCCGAAATATGAGAGCGCGTATATCAGTAGTAAGGGAGAATGGAGGGATTGATCCATCAAATAGCACGGTTGAGGAGAGCGGACGTCATCGGACAAGGGGTTTCACGAGAAACTTATTTTTGCGCAGTTGTAAGGAAAATTGAAGGAATGTTTTATAAGAGCGCCAGGACCAGCCTGACAAGGCGAAAGGGAGTGAGAAGAACTGGAGAGAGATAAAAAGAGGGCGCCGGAGAGTGTACAAGACAGATGAGAGGTGAAGGTGAATGCGGCAAGCTGGGGGTTGACAGTTAAACGCGTGCTGACTAACCCGTGGACGAAGGGCGAGAGAACCACCAAGTCACGTGTGTCATTAGCATGTCGCATGTTTATCCACTCTATATACCGAGCGGAGTCCGGAGATATGCCCGGAAGATGGTAGATGGGGTATGGGGTATGGGGTATGGCAGTATTGGCATTGCTCACTGCAGTGTGCTAACTAAATGTAGTGCTTTCTCTACCCTCCTCTACCATCTCTTGTGGTAGTTGGCTGGAGATTGGATTCAGATATTCACCGTACAATGGTACATAAGAGCTTAGATCGCATACTCAATTGCCCAGAAAAGCTCAGATGTCAAACATTTCTGCATATCAGTATCCCCAAACTATAACCATGGCACATGATATCCCATCCCATCACCAATGACAATTCATTCACCCCTTCCATCCCCTCCACCAACCTATCCCAATCACTCACCCACCTACGACGGCTTCCCCTTATCCCAAAACCACCTATACAAAGTCCTCCACTCCTCCGCCTCATCCTCCACATACTCCCCCACCATCTCCGCCACCTCACTCGAATACACATCCTCCACAACCTTACTCTTAACCTCCGCCACCCCCTCCCCAGCCCTCTCCTTGACACTCCTCGCCAACTCCCCCACCGTCTCACTCGTCGACTCCGCAAGCTTCTCCGCCCGCTCCTTGGCTCTGGCAAGCAACTCCTCCCCCGACGGATTCCGCCGTAGCGGCACCAGGAGCATATAGTAGCAGCGCACGATGAGCGCGTGCACGCTGTCCTTGGCGAGCATGGCGATGCCGTGGCTGAAAAAGCGGCGCAGGACATCGCCGGTTAGTCCTGCATAGAGGGCGATGAGGCCCTCGGTGCGGGCGATGGAGTAGATGGTGTGGAGGACTGTGGGCGGTGGTGAGGGTGATTGTGCTGGTGCTGTGGAGGCAGGAGTAGAGGTAGCGGCTGCCTGTGCACGTGTCTTTGCTATGGAAAACGGATAGGTTAGCGAGGAGGCAAATGCCTTGCTAAGGGCTGCGAAGATGAATATCGCCGCTGCGGGTGGATGTTTCCTTTTTTCCCGGGAGAGGAGTGAGAATTTCAAAACCTCGCTGAGAAGGAAGGTGATGGATGGGTTCAGCGAGAGGAAAAAGTACGCTGAGCAGCCAGACCAGAGACCCTTGATGCCCTTTTTGGCAATGATGGTTGAAACGATTTCTCTCGTTGTAGATAAGTGTTGTTTCTTCTTTGATAACCCTTCAACCTGCTTCTGTGTCAACACAGTCGAAATCGGAGCCGTGATCAACTTCATGAACCCCTCCGCCAAATAGCCGACAGCCAATTCATCCAAGACGGGGAGGAGTGCATGCGCCTTCAATCCTCGTGCACGCAACCGCCTCCGCCGCAGAAACGTATACGACAAGAAAAACACAAAAGATTCCACGACAGCCTTCCCAGTCGCCTCTGTCACGCCCGTGTACAGTCCACTCCACCCTCCTTCATTCTTATATATTTTGTTCGCACCATCCAAGATGCCTGCATATTGTTCATCACCACCATCACCGGTCCTATCAGCGTCGTCAACAATCTCCCCGTTTTTCTCCTTCTCCTTTTCCTTTTCACCCCTGCTCCTCTCCCTCTCCGCTCTCAACTGCCTCTGCAACTGCAACCGTGTAACAATCAAACTAAGCGGATACATCACGATAGTAGGCACCGCAGCTCCCACTGCACCAGCCGTAGCCTGGCCAAGTGCCGGCAACGCAGGCCCTCTCAGGACAGCGGCATTCCAGTCTGCACCGCCTGTGTCGTACTGTAGTTCAAGGCCATCGCGGCTGGGGGAGTGGTAGATGTGGTATAGTTCGAAGCTTTCCTATTGATTGTTGAAAGATGGGTGTTAGACTTTGTTGCGTTTATATCGTGTGATAGTAATTAATAATGTGATTTTTTAGATTGGAGGTAAGGGAGGAGGTGGAAGAAGGGGAGCCTACGATAACAGCTTCGTACGGGACGTCCGGGTCGATAGGCATGGTGTGTTTAGGGGGTTAATAAGTTCGTTGAAGGTAAGATACCCAATTGATAATGGCGGTTGACCTGCTGTTCCAATTTGCAAAATGAGATGGCTATTGATACATTCGTTATATATCCCCTCGCTCGTTCTCCCTTATGGACACAAACTTGGAGTTGGAGGAACAGGAGGCTAGCGCTCGTTTAAAATAGCTAGTTATGAAACGGGATAAGAGACGAAGTCCTGGACTAAACGAAATAAATGCAAAATCAACGACAAGAAATTCTCGTAGTCAACAACATCAAATGGTTTTTTGCGGTCGTATTTATGAAGTTCCAGCCCAAGTTTCCAGCAGTTATAGCGTTGTGGACTCTTGGATTTGGCTGGTGGGTTGGGGCGGAGAAGACCAATGACGTCGTTCCAGCAAAAGTCTTTCCTTTCCCCGCATTTTTCCATTCGCCCCAATTCCACTCGCAGTGCGCCGTGGATCCGATCCATCCCACTTTAGTCGTATAAAGAATTGGAAGTAGTTAGGGGAGCTACGAGCGGTGAATGAGGTATTATCATTCTTTATTATTCGAGAAAATTGGTGTAACATTGTCTTCAGCTACTTTTAATTTTGAGAGTGAATTCTAGGTGTGCATAGTCATGACCCACACCTTCAACATTCACCACTCCACCACGGTTAAGAGAGGGGATCATAAGCCATCACGAGAGATTCTCCAAAGACTGAAAATATACGGGCACGGATCCAGATTAATTCTGCGAGAAATCTAGGGAGTTGGACCATTCAATGCCCTGCAGCTGCAGGAGGGAGCCTAGTCGACTACGCAGGCATGCACATTATGTTGCCCCAAGCAATCCCATTTCTCCAGCTTTTAAAACAAGGGAGAGAAAAATTATATATATATGAAAAATACCATAGCTATATGAAGCCCAAATTTTCGTTCCCATCCGCAAGCGCATAGCTATATTTCAAAAAAAAAAAAAAAAAAAAAAAAAAAAAAAAAAAAAGGGGGGGCATAATGTCATAGGAAACATCCCACCAAATTCACGTCCATCCGATTGCGGAGATAAGACACCCTCGGCATCCATACGTTATCAAGCGCCAATGATTACCTTTAAAAGCAAACAAGCCGACACAACGGACGCCTCAGGTAAATGAAACTACACCCCCAAAAGACAAGAAGAAACTTGGAAAAAAAAAAAAAATAGTTGACCGATCTTCTTCGTGATATGTGATACCAGTCCGTAATGGCGATGGAAAACCAGGGTCCAACAAAACAAAACTAAAAACCGTATCTAAACAGGAAAAATCAAGAAACAAAACAAAGAGGGGAAATAAAAAAGAAAAATATCTATCCACCAAATCCGTACAGGGTACGACCCTGTCTCTTCAGCGCATAGACGACATCGAGAGACGTGACAGTCTTCCGCTTCGCGTGCTCAGTGTACGTGACTGCGTCGCGAATGACGGATTCGAGGAAGGATTTCAAGACGCCGCGGGTTTCTTCATAGATCACTGTTATGGGAGTGGTGGGTTAGCTTCTAGCTCTTCGACAACAACCCCCTGGAGGGTGGGCGAAGGGGACGAAGCAACGGGAAGATAAAAGGTAGCAACGTACTGGCAGAGATACGCTTGACACCGCCACGACGGGCCAGACGACGGATGGCAGGCTTGGTGATGCCCTGGATGTTATCGCGAAGGATCTTGCGGTGGCGCTTTGCGCCACCCTTTCCGAGACCCTTGCCGCCTTTGCCGCCTGTTGGGTGTTGGAAAGTATGTTAGTTTGATGTTTTGGTATTGACCAGACAGAGCTAGCTCATGATATGTAAATGGGTGTTGTCCGTCGTCATCGTCACCGTCATTGTGAGTGTTGAATTGCTAAAGCCCAGGTATGTATCCAAGACAGCGACGACTATGTCTTTTAATCACCACGCAGTGAATTTGTAAGGGACGATGACATCGCATAACGCACATGGTTCTCCAAGGCGGCGTGGTGCATAACCCGATTAGGACTAGCGTGTAGGGACCCTCCAGCCGATGTAAAACCCCAGGGAACAACGACGATAACGATGAACAACGACGCGACTCCAAAAAGAGAAACGAAAAAGAAAAGGTAAAAATATATATCTAACTAAAAGGTAGATGGGATCTACTTACGTCCAGTCATATTTATCGAGATGAAAAGGTACTGTGGTGGATTATTTTGATGCAAAAGGTGGAAAAAAAAAATAATGTGGTGAGGATAGACGCGTTTTGGTGCAGAGAGTGAGGAAATTGTGAGAGAAGAGAGAAGAGGGTGGGGGGAGGAAAGGAAGGGGGAAGAGAGGCAAGTTTAAATAGTCTGAAAGTTAGGTAGGGGTGAATGAAAACTACCATGTCGCCGACAGTGCCCTTGTGGGGGGTTACATAAAAGCAGGAAGTATGACTAAGCCGATTTGGGGCGAAGGAGGGAAAAAGCGAGCAGTTTTTCGCCCGCAAAATGGCTGCGTTGATTGTTCCTGATGAACATGCTGCTTTCCAGCGTTCTCTTTTTCTGCCCGCGTTGCGTTGGGTTGCTAGCGTCGTTTTGGTTTTTGGGTTTTGGGTTCTCAGTCGCTGCGAGACAGGCTCTTGGCGCCGGTCGACGGCCTTAGTGTCACGTGATTTACATTTGGATCTCTGGTTATCTATTTAAAAATCAATATATGTACTTGCTCTTTGAAGTGATTTTGACAAATCGCCAAATAAACACGAAAAGCCTCTTCATACCAATAAAGAAAGCTTGCAGAAACTGTGTTGATTTTGTTGTGATGGCGAGTCCGAGTGAATGCTTTGTGTTGGCTTCATGTAACTATTAGTTATCCGAGCACTACATATGTATGTACATAAGTATGGATATGATGCAAGAATGGGAATGGAACAGTGCGAGTATCTTACCTTAATATAATCTCAATTAATATGTCTACTGCTCTGGTAAGCAAGGAGATTTGATAACTAGCTTCTCATTTCTTCAATAACTAGTTATGTAAGCCGCAAGCTTGGAGCACAAAAAGGGGATCTAATATCTACAACTCTTAATTAATCATAATAGAGAGAGAGGATTTAATTTCATAACTCATTATCACCGCATTGCCCCTCCCGAAAAGCGCAGCATATATCCATCAACATAATGCAAAAATTCCCGCACTGTTAAGATCTGCAACTTATACTCCCAACCAGTTTCCAGCGTCTCACTGCGGACAAGACTTCAGACGAAACAGCCTAGCAATATCAATGCTGAAGAAGCAAGGGCGTTGCAAGAGCTTTTAATAATAAAGAGTTAACAAAACCAACGTGCTAGTCGCATTTGAACAGAAAGGCAAACAGTTTCTTGCACAGGAAACACGTTTATACGCTACATAATAGCCATCAATCATCAACGATTTATGTATGTATATATATATATATATAAATTATATAGAACAAAACGAACAGAGGAGAGACAACGTACTAAAAATATCCATAGTTCATCAATTTAGAAGAAAACAAGAGGAAGTAGAAGAAGAGAGGGGTTGGGGAAAAAGAGAAAGAATAGAGCACTTTTGCCAACCCAACGCCTGAACTTGGAAAAGAAATGGAAAAGTGGAGAAACGGAATTAAAACTGGAGAAAATGGGAAATTAAGAACCATCAGAAAACGCCAGACCTAAATGCAAATCAACTGTTCATGGAAGAGAGAGAGAGAGAGAGAGAGAAAAGAAAAAAAAGAGAGAAGGAAAAAATTAAAAATCACACAAAACAAGAAAGCAAGAATATACCCTTCCAAGTGACGCAAAATCGTCACAGAAAAAAAGCGAAAAAACCAAAGCAAGGCTCCAAAAACAGTCATCACTCTGCTCAAGTCAAATAGATGGAAAAAGCAAGAAAAAACAAAGAGTCATCATAGAACCGTACAAGCCGCAGCAGTGAAAGGACGATGCGAAGGAAAGAAAGGAAATAAACATTAGCATCCCTTATTCACCCTGTCATCAATTTCAAGGCCCATGCAAATCAAACAGTTCAAAATCAGAGTACAAAACCAAAAGAACGCAAGTTCCTCTCCATATATATCTGCCTGCTCCAGGCCGTTTCCGAATAATTTTCAGAATTCCACGCTCTCCGCCCATTAGTCACAGTATCGGGTGTCATAATTCGTCAAAAGCAGTTCAGCGAGAAAAAAATAAAAAAAAGAAAAAAAAAATAAGTGTCAGCTAAAGAGACACACAACGCAAAAGGAAAAATAAGGAAATAGTTTAAAGAAAAAGAAAAAGAAATAGCCCCATTTTTCACTTCGCCCAGGAGGGTTCATTGGTGTTGCCGTTTTAAATCGGGTGACAACCAAGGGAGGAACGTTAAGTGGAACTTTTATTATTTCATCATATCTACCCTCAAATAAAAGTCAAGGTAAGAGATTCAGAGAAAAATGTCTTCTGCATAGACTGGTGAGGATACGGCGTGTGGGTAGAATAATTTGAGGGTGTGGAAGACGATGGGGTGGTAGTAGTGAAACCGGCACCCCCCTGGGATCGAATGAGAGAAGTATGCTTGATTGTTGATCGATTGTTGTTGTCTGGATTTGTTGTCGTTGTCGCTGTTGCCGTCGCTGTCGACGGTTTATAATCGGCAGATAATGATTTATCTTTCGATGAAGGAGTGATGGTGGAATAGCTCGAGACACAATCACTATTTCCTGGGGTCGTTGCGTTCTGAGTCGCGCTTTGGTGGTGGTGGCGTCGTGAGAAATGAGTGGTAGACAGAGAACCTGCCTTGGAAGATCCATACTTTATTGATTCGGTAGATGTCAGTTCGAATTCCAAGTTTGCAAAAGGGTAAAGGTGGTGTGTAAGGCGGTGGTGTTTTATGCTGGTTCGGGAAAACCTACGAAGCAGTACTTATCCACGAGCTCCTTGTACATAGGCGACTGATGATAAGGCTGTCCCGAAACAATATCGGTAGGCTTCATTGGACCAGGCGAAGATGTACTAAGTTTTGAGGAAGCTCCTGGAGAGGTCGCCGCGGTAGGCTCGAATTTTTCATCAGGCCTCGCTGGCTTGCCTCCTTCAGGTTTTGACACAGCAGGTGCATTGCTTGTAATCGAGGTGGTTGACGTCGACTCTGGCATATATTTCACTGCCTGGTCGGAACGCCTACCACGACGGGTCTGGTCGGCGCTGCCAGGCTGCATAGCAGCTGACAGGGATGCTCCAAAGTCATACCGGTTCCCAAAAGTCTGAGAGGCAGTTGAACTTCGGCGGATTGGTGTTTCGAGGAAACAGTCGTCCTTGCAAGGTGGCGATTTCGCGGGCGGCTTTTCTAGTTCAAGGCGGCGGTCTGGTAATGCGGGTGAGGGAGGAGACTTGCCAAAGTCTCCAGGAAACGGGGGAACCGATCGTGAACGTGAGGCAAGAGGGTCAGAGGGCCTGCTCCTAGGTAATGTGCTTGTGGGTCGAGGACCTGCGCTGTTTCCAGCTTGAGTCTCCTTATTCCGCTGCTTGGGGTTTTTGCAAAAATCCACATGGTAATTCATTGTGTTATTGTTGTCCCAGAATTCGAGGCCGTTCACGTTGTAACGTATGCAAATGAACATTCGTTTAGTTTCAAGGTTTCCCATATCCGCTAAATGGATGCTAAAATTGAATCTGTCGTATCCATCGTTTGCTTCTTTCCGGCGAACGTCGTTGTTATACTCTGCAATAACCTCAGAGGTTGTTTTCCAGTAGTCGGAGGTGAATCTTGCAACAACATGCTTCTGGAAGGAAATGTTGGCAACTGCAACCACACCAACCAGGCATTTGTTACCTGGCGATAAGAATATCCGTTCCAGTCGAACGGGCATATGTTTTCTCGCTTCCTGATCCACTGGGAAATTAGCTATCCGAGCGTCCCATTCAAAGAGGTTTGGCTGAGAAGGTCGATCATCGTTGTTGCCAAATGGAAATTCGTTATCACCGTCATAGGTCTCTATGGGAGAGGAACCAGCGCTAACGGCAAGAGGCTTGTCGACCTGGAGAAAATGGCGGATATGTTCCAACTGGGAGTCGAAATGAACTGCCTTTGAAAACATTGGAGTTCCTGGTGCACTGGACGGCCTTCTCTTGGGCCGGAGGGCAGGCCTCACCAACTCCCCTGACTTCTTTCGGACCATTGAAGGTTTCATAGCAAGTTCCATTTCATCTTCCCCACGGTCGCTGTCTTCAGGGGTGTGGGTGGCAATCTCTGATGAATGAGCATGGACAACCCCATTAGGTGTGTTGGGGCCGGGAATACTCGATGCATCTTCTGCCAAATGAGCTTTAACACGAGGCCCTTTCACCTCTGCAGCTAATGCCAACGATAAATCTAGGGGTGAGGGAGTTCGTTGTATTTTCGGGGAAGGCTTGACGGGCCCCCGTTTCTTGGTGGGAGTTTGGAGGGAGCTCTGATCAATAGACATGATTGCTGCCTCAAAATCTGCCAGGATGAACCTCTGCGACCCTGGAGTTGTAGTTTCTTCGTCATCACTCGAATTAGATTTCGAATCGGGAGGTGAGATAACTACCCCAGTCGGGATCATCGCACCAGAAGGAGATTTCCATAGTGCCGCGTGACGGGTATTGGTTGGTGATGGGCTGTTCCTCCTTCCGTCTTTCGATTCTATCCCTAGCTCTCCAGAATTTGATGTATTTTGGGAAACGACTGGGCTTCGTCGATGACGATAAATATAAGAGCTTGAAGTATGGGCTCGCTGAAGTGGTGGAAGATTTCCTGAAGAGTTCATAGCTGGCTCAGAATTCTGTCGTCCATGGCGACGTGTAGTGGCTAAGAGACCAGCAGAAGCTAGATGGGGATGGAGCTGAGCAGTTAACAACGGAGCCGGCGCAGTGTACGGCATCCGGCCGACTTATTGCGTCACAGGTGGGTACAGAAACACTCCTGATTCTATCCAAAGCATCCAACGCAGAGGCTTGTCTTCAGCGAGGCCACTGACTGGATAGGAGACTTTGGATGTAGCAGGTAGATCTGGGAAAACAAATCTTGATGGAGGGGACCAGGTCAGCCACTTGGAAAAAAAGGAAAAAGAAGAGTAATAAAGAGATAACAAAGACGCCAATCAAGAACCGGAGCAGGAGGAGAAGAGGGCGGTGACAACAGTCGAACTAGGATCTATGATGTTCAAACTTGGGAGTGAATT